CCAGCTTACATTGATGTTCAAATTCAGAGTTTCCTTCACGCGCTATGGGCTGTTACCTCCAGAACTCGATGTCAATAATTATTTCAAGAAACCTTTCAATTTTTATAATAGTCAATGGAGTTTCATTCAATTTTCCGCCAATGTAATCTAATGATATTTAAGAGCAATTCTGTCCTTTTCAGCTTACTTAATTGAGTCAATTCATTTCAAAATTACATCAAAATGACTCAATGAATATGAAAGGTATTTAAGGTGGCTAAAGACTTGCTGTTCATTTGAAAAAAAAACAAACCATTCATTCAATTATTAAGGTGCTTTTCAAATTCAGTTATTGAGGTCAAATAATAGTGATGAATGATTATTTTAAAGTGATTGCATCTAGATTAGACTGTTGGATAAAGCTCATCACAAATTGTTAATCCTTTCGAGGGGAACATCAATTTAAGTTCATTTATGATATTTAAATTCAGGCTCTTATTGATTACCAGAAAATTTAAAACGAGAATGATTTATTATGATTACTTTAATTATAATCATAAAAAGATGAGCTTTTATGTTTACTGAAATTGAAATTTACGTTTAAAACTGTTGATCAGCTTGATTTCAACAAAAAAATGCTGATTAACCCAAAACCTTAACCTTGTTGTGTGAGTGAAATACAATTTTGTTAAATTGCTTTATATTTCAAATTTTTCAACTAATTGTCACAAAAAAGAGATTTTTTATCAAAATTGATAATTAAGATCCAATTACTTGTTAAATACACAGTAATTAGTGTGCAGAGTTTAATTAAATTATCAACACCTTCCATAATGAAATTAAGGTAAAAAATGAATAAAGAAAATCTATTGAATCAGATCAAAAGGTCACTTTAAACTGATTGATCAATTAAAACAATAATCTTATTGAGAGACTCGGATAGTTCAAATAATAGGCATGAAAGGTAAAGAACAAAAATAAAATTCTGATTTCATTTTACCTTTTTGATTAAAGCTTATTTTTATTGCAACTGTTAATCATTAACATTTCAATCTAAATTGTTCTTTATTTGTCTGAGGAAAATAAACATTCCAATTGATTCATGTTTGCTTGTCAACAGTATGTTTCCTATTGAGGTAGTAAACAAATTGTGGAATTGACAATAATTGTATTTGATTATAAGGAAAAGTGAAGAGAAATATGATTGTGATGATAATAGGTATAAGATAAGAATTATTTTTCATTTAAAACATATTCTTCGCCTCATAATTGCCATGATAATGTTTCTGTAATTGGTTTACCAGGTTAATTTTATTTTTCATTTTGGCCATTTCAAGAGTTGGTTTAAGAACGAGTTGGAGAGCACAGGAAGCTGGGTTATCAAGTTATTTTGATTGCGTTTACTGGTGTTTGATGCTATGATTACTGTTTGGGAAAAGAAAAATGGAAATGAAAGTTAACAATTAGGTTGTCAATTTTGGGAATTAGAATAGTTGATTGATTAGGTGTAAATAATGAACAGTTGCTCACGTTCCTGACGATGATGGGAAAAGTAGATTGACCTTATTTGGCGATGAATGAAATTGCTTCCCAAATGCATTACGATTAAAGGTCCATCTGTGTTAGGCCATTCAACTAAGCCGCCGGGTCGTCAAGTAAATCTGTAACCATAAAGTACAAAATCAACAGTTGGTAGCGATTCTGGTTCGACATCGAATTGTAAGTCACAGTCAACTTTCTAATATCTATTTAATCAGTTGTTATGCACCATTAATGATTGAAATAGATGTTACTGAATGATGATCACACAGCAATTGATAGAAGCCAACACTTAAATGGTTACCAAATTAGAAGCTTTGAACATAATGATAGCGATTTGTTTCCTAACCAAACGGCAGCAAATTACGTTACTCGATGAATAATAATTTAACAATCAAAACACGACAACGAAACAAGAACTTAAACGGAAGCGAAATGTTTGATTTCCTTGTTTTCCGTATCTTCCAGTAATCATGCAGGTTGATTCATCAGCAGACAACATATGTTTAGAAAAATTTTCCAACTTTGGCCAATTTTCATTCGCTTTAGCTTGAGTTACTTAAAAAATCACACCAGCCTATAGAAAGATACATAAAAAATGCAGCCAGAGATCGAAAAGGCCAAAAGTTATCGACCTCGGCAGGATTCGAACCTGCAATCTTCTGATCCGAAGTCAGACGCCTTATCCGTTGGGCCACGAGGCCGAATCGATAAGAGATCAGCATCCAAACTCTACGTAAAGAAACTCCACCAAAAATGGCGCCTAAATACACCGGTACTCATTGGAGGTGGGTTATGATGATACTTTTGGCTTTTTTAGATGCAACCAGCGAATGTAGTAAAGTTGAATCAGAATTTGATGAAATCTTTTGACATCGATGGTTACAAAAATATATTAAAATCAATCAGTGAATGGCCTTTGTGTTTCCAAATTAAGCTTTGAAACACTCTTTTCACAGAAGCTGCTGACATCTCCAGGGTTTATGGGTTCTGTAACGTTTTATTGTATCTAATGAGTTAACAACAAAATATAGCAAATTGAAAGTAAAAGTAAACCAATTAAGAAAGACAATTATAGATTGGAATTAAGTTTCACATGTTTAATTAAAGAGATATTAAATTTGAAGACGAAACTGATATAACAAATCAGTTGATCCGACGATTTCAATTTTGGCAAGACAAGCGCCATCTATTGAACAGTTTTTGTACATTTCAATGCAAAAGTTTAATATGAATGTAATACAGTAAAGTACTTAATGTTTGTCCAAAAAGTAAATTAAAGAAATTAAATAATCTTACTCTTTCAATCGTCCAAATCTTTAATCATAAGCTTTAATTACTCTCTTGCACTTAAGATTTTGTTATCCAATATTTGGGTAATTACTGTTAAATTGATGGCAAAAAGTGAAACTGAACTCTTGTCATCTCCAATATCCTTCAATTTACTCTACGAACTTGTGATTTGTGTCATTTTTATGCATTTGATTACCATTTAAGTATTCAATAACTTGTTTATTTGTACCTTGTCCTTGTATTTGATAATGATTATGTTTAAATGTGTATGCTTAGAATACAAAAAAGATTCAATTTTTGATTTCATACAAAAAGGGGAGGAAAAAATATTACATTTGAAGGTTTACATAGAAGTGGCAAAAAAAACATTTGCACAATTCATCATATTCATATTAACAATGTGTCTAGCAACAATTATCAAAAAAATATATGATTTAGTTTTCACATTGGCATACAAATTAATTTTGTTGCAATACTAATCAATATTTACTCATCGTATTACCTTGTACTACCTTAACCTAGTGGAAACCTCACTATCAGATGTCGATAGATCAAGCTTACTGTTATTTAGGGTTAACTTATTGCTATTCAATTTACAATCAGTATCACTATTAGCATCGTTATTGTCAAGGATGAGTGTTGTTTGCTGAATAGTATCACCATAAGTATCAAATGTCTTATGTGGATACAAAGATGATGGTTGAAATGATTGTTGTTGCTGTTGGTAGGTGAATTTATTGCGCGTAGCCATTTGATATCTATTATGAGGGCTTAATGAGTTTCGTCCAGATGAACGAGTATAAGTTGATGTTAAAGTATTGTTATCGCTACGAAGAGTACTTCCCCTGATTGGGTATAGGCGCGGCAAACAGAAGCAAATAACGTTTGTTAACCAAAGGACGGCTGAATGTTTACTGTAAGCAAAAGAAGAGTATTTTAGTCCAATTTTCTGACCTTTTGAAAATATAAGCACAACTTACCGGAAATTTCGACAAACATGAGTTGAAAATAGACATAAATTAGTGGATTAGCAGCACTATTTAATGGAGCTAGCTTTGAATGAAGGTTGATATGGCCACAGTTGTTTGCGTTCGAGTTATCTGTTGATACACTTGGAGAAGA